TTTCAGGAACTAAAGTGTCCTGTTTCAAGTGTGTATTGAGGCTGTATCGAGAGATATAGTGTAGGCATAATGAACATAATGAACCGTACCGTAGTTTGTATCTGTATCGAGAGATATAGTGTAGGCATAATAACTGTACCTGTTTCTTTCAGGAACTGTGTCCTGTTTCAAGTTGATTGAGGCTGTATCGAGAGATATAGTAATGAACCATTGCCGGTTTGTATCCTTCAGGAACTAATGAACAAATGTAGATATAGTGTAACTGGTTTCATAATTGAGGCTGTATCCATAATGAACCGTATCCAGTTTGTTAACCTTCAGGAAGTAAACTGTCCTGTTTCAAGTGTGTATTGAGGCTGTATCGAGAGATATAGTGTAGGCATAATTAACGGTATCCAGTTTGTATCTTTCAGGAACTTAACTGTCCTGTTTCAAGTGTGTATTGAGGCTGTATCGAGAGATATAGTGTAGGCATAATGAATCGTATCCAGTTTGTATCTTTCAGGAAGTAAACTGTCCTGTTTCAAGTGTGTATTGAGGCTGTATCGAGAGATATAGTGTAGGCATAATGAACCGTACCGTAGTTTGTATCTTTCAGGAACTTAACTGTCCTGTTTCAAGTGGGTATTGAGGCTGTATCGAGAGATATAGTGTAGGCATAATGAACCGTACCGTAGTTTGTATCTTTCAGGAACTAAACTGTCCTGTTTCAAGTGGGTATTGAGGCTGTATCGAGAGATACAGTGTAGGCATATGGTCTAGTGGACTAAGCGTGAGCAGCCAATGTCTCTGGGTTCAAATCCAAGCTTTGTCCTGGTTATGTTTTCAGGTTTATCAACACCAAAACTGTTCTTCTTTGTTCTACAAAGTGGTCACGTTTACTCCATATGCGAGGAATCCGTGACGATCCGAGTAAGAGTTGATCTTCAGCAACCCATGCTTGTCATAAGGGGCGATTGACGGGATCAGGTGGTCAGGCTCGCTGACTTGAATGGCACATGCCATGCGTAGGCCGACAATCTTTGATGTTCAATCTCGCCAAAAAGATGTATGTATATAGTTCTTACATGGGCCGATGGCCTTTATACTGGGATAACAATTGAATTGAATTGAATCGTAGGTCGATATTAATTCTGTTGATCATTGGATAGTCTGGTTCAGACTCGATTATTTACAGACCTCCGCCATATAACTGGAATATTGCTGAGTGCGACATTAAACAAACTTAAGAAACAAACAAACAAACAGGAAACTAATTACATGCTTTAAAATCTGAATCCATTTGTGCCTTTACGGTTCAATTTACATTGTCTTTCTGAAATAATATTCAATGAGGCAATAAACCACATGAACGGTAAAGCAGGAATAAAAAAAAGAACAAAGAGATATTAATTATGGTAAGAAAACTATAAGGAGAATTTTTGAATGTATATTTTAATAAAAAAATTCAATCGTGAATGTGGTTTGTTCATTCATTAATGTTCATAAACACTGAATTTTGTAAGTCTTGAAACATTGATCACCTTATCTTCTGAAACCCGAAGATAACACATTATCATATCCATCGAAAGCACTAGCTTACGTTATAAATCAGAAGATATGGATTAACCACGACACTTTCCATGGATATACATAGGTGCTTTAATATATAATACGTAATCTATATCGAGTTTTGGAGATTGGAGACTTGACCACACAAAGCTTTGAAGGACCTTATCGGGAATATACCAACTGTCGATAAGGTAACAAAAATAATTAATACAAATTAACAATCTGCGAATATGAATTTGAATATTTTATAATCAAACTTACGTAGCTGGTAAAAAGTTTTAATTGTGTGTTGAAAGTTTTGAACAATGAAAAATGTGTTAAGATATAGAATGATGCGAGTTCAAAGAATCCATTACAATGCGTGTATAAAATTACATACATATACAACACGATTGCCAGTCTCTCAATCAACTTCTCTGAAATATCGAGGAGAGAGAGAGAGAGAGAGAGAGAGAGAGAGAGAGAGAGAGAGAGAGAGAGAGAGACAGAGAGAGACAGAGGGAGAGAGAGAGAGAGACTGAAGACAAGTACGTACACATATTATGCATACACACAGAATCCACAATAAAATTAACCATCCACAATACACCTTACATCAAATACAACATATCATACGCAGTACACCATATACCATTCACTGCACACTATGTACATCCACAATAGCTTATAATAATATACCATTCATCGTGTACACACACAGTACATCAAACACCATAGACAATACATGAAAACCATACACAATACATCAAACATCATACACAATACATCAAGAGAGAGAGAGAGAGAGAGAGAGAGAGAGAGAGAGAGAGAGAGAGAGAGAGAGAGAGAGAGAGAGAGAGAGAGAGAGAGAGAGAGAGAGAGAGAGAGAGAGAGAGAGAGAGAGAGAGAGAGATTATTTACAGATCGCCGCCATACGGCTGGAATATTGTTAAGTGTTGTTTTAATACAGCAAACATTAGATAACCATTGCTAAGGTGTTTTACTGATGGAAGATTTAAAAAGGCTGACGAAATGAAAAAGGAACGGTTGTAAGTTAATTTCTTCTGCGCTTGGCAAATATTTTGAACCCTCCACTCCAAATACCATTTTACTCAGAGATAGTGATGAATCTTTCACTGTGTAAATAATTTTGTTTAAGCGGATCATTCATGCATATATACTGACGGACAAAAGAAACTTTATCCTTGAATATTGGATTTTGCTTGTTTAATTTTTAAAGTCAAGTATGTATGTTTTCGTTTCCCGGCAGTTAGCACAAAATAATTTATTTTCCGTAGTTTCGATTAAAATGTTAAGCCATTTAACTTTCGTTTTACATCCCTATTTTATGAAACAGTTATATTCGGTTACATATCTATTTATCAGAGATAGAATGACATTAAAAATGCCGTTAGGACACTACAATTAGAATGACATTAAAAATGCCGTTAGAACACTACATATAGAATGACATTAAAAATGCCGTTAAAGCGTCGTCATCACGCTGAAGATCTGGGTTCGATTCCCCAGATGGGTACAATGTGTGAAGCCCATTTCAGGTGTGCCCTGTGGTGATATTGCTGGAATATTGCTAAAGGCGGCGTAAAGCAAAATTCATTCAACAATGTTTTGGGTACTATTTCTCTTGGTTCAGCAATATTCCAGCTATATGGCAGTTGTCTGCATATAATCAAGTCTGGACCAGACGATTCAGTGATCAACAGCATGAGAATGGATCTACACAACTGGGATACGATGACATGTGTCAACCAAGTCAGCGAGCCTGACCACCCGATCCCGTTAGTCGCCTCTTAGGACAAGCATGAGTTACTGAAGATCAGTATTCTCACCCGGGTCTTCATGGGTATGTAGGGAGGAGAATAACGCATGCGGTTGACGGTTTGGTTTTATGAAATGCTCAGGTGTTGTGCTGGCGCACTACGTAAGTATGAATTATGATCAAGCGAATCAGCAGATCCTGACACAGCAAAGGGACGCAATTCAAAACATCGCATTTAGAAGCTTTATGTCAATGGGATTCCCATGACGTAAGAGATAATATGTGTAAACGAGTGGGTTTGAATATACGCCACTTTTAACAATATTCCAGAATTTACACAGAAATGGGCATCCATGTTTGGGATCGAACCCGGACTATCACCGTGAGGAGAGAAGACTTCCACCACCAGCCTACCCAACTGCAATAGATAGCATTAAAAATACAGATTTTTCCCCGTTTCTGATTAACATGCAGCAAGGCATGGTGTCAGGAGAGAAATCTTATCGGGCCACATGACTACCCCACTGCCCGGAATGGCTTTGAGAATAGAGAATTGTCTTTACGTCCCTGTTTAACATACAACATGCTGTTACTGCAAGCCACCTAAACAATGATCCATAATTAGGGCCACGGTTGATTACTGCATTTTATTAATAACCGAGTCTTCATTGCTGACGGGATTCGAAACTCGCTGTGATATAAGGTCGGAATGACGTCACACTAGAAACGACGTCACAGATGAAGATTGGTGACATCATTCGACGACTGTCATATTCTAAGACTCGATCCGTGCATGTTTCTAAGGGGAACCTGAAAAGATTAAAATATACTGGCTAATAAAGAAATTATTAGATTAAATCAGACCATAGCGAACAGAAGCGTCACGAAGCATACACACATAACCAGTTCCTAACCTCCCTTCACTCGACTGAACGAACCTTATCAATCTTTAATTTCAAAATAGTGTAACACTGTACTAAGAAGCGTACATGCATATGCACAGATACGAAAAAAAGGTTGATGTCCAAGTTCTCTATGAACTGGGAATCAAGTTCAATACAAGAGTAAAAAGATATTCCTTAGGAAATGACGGTTTGACAAGTCGATGTCGTATCATTCTTTATTTAAAGACACATTATCTTGACGATTAGCACCACGGTGTCGCTTACAAGCTCTGCCCATCAAAGCTGGTATTGTATATATGTGATAAATATACCGTACTGCTGGGCCGTGGCAATCCTGACTTAAAGTGACACTGTGATCTCTCTATCTGTCTTGCTCTCTCTCCGTCGCTGTCTGACAGTCTGACGCTATCGTTTCCTCACAGTGTGCCGGACAGACAAAGCCGATAAAGCATGGTGAATGTGTGGACTATTTCTTGGCATTGTATCGCGTAATCTGACGCTGAGACATACGGTGTTCTCGCCTATCTAATTCGACCCTTTCTCGTGGCTATCTTCCTCTTTTCTCTCTATATCGTCTTCCTCTAACTTTCCTACCAGACATCGTTACACAAAAGCGTTTTATTGTAATCTATGAAATAGTCGATTTGTTTATTAGTCTTATTTTCCCCGTCATATAACTGGAATATTGCTAAGTGCGGCGTAAAAAATACGGTGTTCTCGCTTCCTCCACATGTGTCCTCTGTGTCTCACTGAACTGCCTCAGTTCATTCATCCCTACCACCATAATGCCTTCCCTACCTCCATCGTGCCTTCCCTACCTCAATCCTGCCTTCCCTATCTCCACCCTGCCTTCTCCACCTCCATCCTGCCTTCCTACCTCCATCATGCCTTCCCTACTCCATCCCTGCCACCTCCCTTCCTCCTCCTCCTCCTGCCTTCCCTACCTCCACCCTGCCATCCCACCTCCATCCTGCCTTCCCTACCTCCATCCTGCCTTCCTACCTCCATCGTGCCTTCCTATCTCCACCCTGCCTTCTTCACCTCCATCCTGCCTTCCCTACCTCCTCGCCTTCCTCCATCCCTTCCCTATCTCCACCCTGCCTTCTCCACCTCTGCCTCCTGCCTTCCCTATCTCCACCCTGCCTTCACCTCCATCCTGCCTCCACCTCCATCCTCCCTCCTCCATCCTCCATCCTGCCTTCCCTATCTCCACCCTCCCTCCACCCTCCACCTCCATCGTGCCTGCCTTCCCTATCTCCATCCTGCCTTCCCTACCTGCCTTCCTTCCCTACCTCCATTCTGCCTTCCCTATCTCCATCCTCCTGCCTTCCCTACCTCCATCCTGCCTTCCCTACCTCCATCGTGCCTTCCCTACCTCCATCCTGCCTTCTCCCTACCTCCATCCTGCCTTCCCTATCCCACACCTCCTGCCTTCCCTCCACCTCCATCCTGCCTTCCCTATCTCCACCCTGCCTTCTCCACCTCCATCGTGCCTTAACTACCACCATCCTGCTTTCCACACCTCCACCCTGCCTTCCCCACCTCCATCCTGCCTTCCCTCCCTCTATCCTGCCTTCCCCTCGCCCTTTGCTCTCGACCTCCACATGCCTAATTCAAATATTCAGGGGATTGCTTCACCTAAAGAGAAGCTACCAGATGATCGCGGATATGTAGTGCAGAGTATTAACTTCTATGGTTCTCCTAAGCGTACACAGATCCTTGTATAGACAATCGTTCAATAGGCTGCATTGGCGGACTAAGCTTTTGACAGGTTAAATAAGATATTTGACAGCTTACCCTGCACTGAACGGGTATCGTCAGACAGATTCGGTGTACCTTCGCAGAACTCTTTCTGTGAATTAGTTCATATTTTGCTATTCTCGAGTTACACCGAGTATTTGTTTTGTTAAAGTAGAAAAATATAAACTATTGGCGATTGGGATTTCAGAGATATACTCAACAAAATAATAAACTTGACACTCTTATTACTGGTAATATTGAAGGGAACATTCTTTTTTTGCTTCCGGCAATGAAACGAAGGCTGCTTGAACGTTGTCATGGCGCCCACCGTGAAAAATTGCGTAAAGCGTGAAATAGTGTGACCTACAACAATCGCGTGGACTGGAATGCCCGTGCCCGTGCACTGGAATGCAGACATTGCTGGACAAGAAAACGCACTAAAATTAAAGTATACAGTGTGAGGGCTTAATTCTTGTCAATCCTTGACAACAATTGCACCACCCCCTGGTTCTGAAGTTCTCAGACAATACACAGTCTGAGGACCCGCGTGCAACGTCGCATGTGACGTCACAAGAAGATGACGTAGAAATCAGGCAACGTCATTTAACCTACAGGTTTGTGACTGCAACCTCCACTAGCAGACACCCAGCCCTCCACATCTCCATGCTGCTTTCCCCGCCTCTATCACGCATTCCTCACACAGATCAACAAATGTTAACCCAACATAAGTATAATGCACGTACGCATACACGCACGCATGCACGCACACATATATTAGATAGACACGCACGCATGCAAAAAGGGCTTCCGACTTCCTCCCACCGATCAACAAATGTTAACCCAACATAAGTATAATGCATACACGCACGCACACATATATTACAAAAACGCACGCACGCACGCACACATACATTACATACATGCACGCACGCACACAAAAAGGGCTGCCAGTAGTATCAAACTATTCAATATTTTTGATGACGTTATTTTTTGTTTGTGGATATCAATATTGTAAAAATGTTGTAAGTCAAACCTTGTAAAAATCTAACACGAACCAAGGCCGGCTATAGCTAATGACATATCAACTTTTCGCATATGGAACTATAAACTATTTATATTTGCCAGTATGCTGAGTATCATTGCCGAAAGACTTTATTGAAACGTCACTAAACTGCCCGGCAAAGTACAGTATACACTTGTAAGTAGGACCTGAGCAAAGACCTACAAACTTTATCAATGCGTTATTATACTTTTAAACAGTCGGCGAATCACTGCAAACTCATGGTGCAAAACTGACTGACTGACAGACTGAGTTTGGTTTTACGCCGCTTTTAGCAATATTCCAGCAACATCACGGCGGGGGACACCAGAAATGGTCTTCACCATGGTTCAAAACAACTGTGGTACCACTTATCAAGTACACCGTCAAGCTGAAACATGTTTGTTAGCCGCTGCCAAGGATGAAGATTTGAGGGAGGGATGGGTATGGTGTGGAGCCTGTCCGAGCATGGGGAGGATGGTTCAACATACAAGACTACATATAAGGACGTGGAAACTGTTCCACTCGATTAAAACTTATTGAGGTTCGAGTTAGAAAGAGTTGCAATCCATGCTTAAATGGATCGGGTTATCAGGTTCACCGACTTCGTTGATGAAGGTCTTCGTATCGATGCGTCGATCGATGCTTTAACGAGCATGGGTTGCTGAAGATTAATTCTAAACCTGATCTTCAAGGGGTACGACGAGCATTGGTTGCTGACGACCAATTCTAACCCTGATCTTCACGGGGTACGACGAGCATGGGCTGCTGACGACCAATTCTAACCCTGATCTTCATGGGGTACGACGAGCATGAGTTGCTGTCGACCAATTCTAACCCTGATCTTCACGGGGTCTTACATTCATGGGTTGCTGAAAACCAATTCTAACCCTGATGTTCACGGGGTACGAAATTCATGGGTTTGTGAAGACCAATTCTAACCCTGATCTTCACGGGGTCTGACATTCATGGGTTACTGAAAACCAATTCTAACCCTGATGTTCACGGGGTACGAAATTCATGGGTTTGTGAAGACCAATTCTAACCCTGATCTTCACGGGGTCTGACATTCATGGGTTGCTGAAGATCAATTCTAACCCTGATCTTCACGGGATACGACACGCGTTGGTTGCTGAAGATCAATTCCAACCCGAATCTTCACGGGGTACGACAAGCATGGGTTTCTGAAGACCAATCCTAACCCGCATCCTCATAGAGGTACGGTTGCTGACTACCAATTCTAACCCTGATCTTCACAATGGTACAACAAGCATAGGCTGCTTCAAACATCTTCTACTCGTGTACATAGTGAAGTGATGAGTGAATGAATCTATCAGCAGTCAGTGTGTTTATTTTGTAAGCAGTGACCTTGATCTTAAACCTCAACAAATCACATGCCAGAACGATCATCTGATCATCGTCGTTGTGTATTTCAACTCATTTCAAATACGGTGAGCATCTAGTAGGATCTGTTCAAGTACAAAAACACCCTAATTCACCCAGAATCTAATGAACAAATTTGAAATTCGAATATTTTCCCAATGGTTTCTGAGATAACATGGTGGAAGATCGCTATACTTTTTATTGAAATGAGAAGATGGTCGCGGCCATTTTGAAATTGTTTCAGAAATAAAATCTTTCACGTGATGTAAAAATGATATTGATATGTTCCGTGGATTTGGGGATAAAAGAGATTTCAAGAGATTACGCGGTAACGACGGTCAAAAATCTAGAGCATAAACTTCCATTGAGCTTACGATGTGAGCTATAACAGCTCTGTTGCAGGTACCGAGCAGCCATTTTCAAGGTTGCGGCTGGGCGGCCATTTGCAAGATCTGGTTAATCGCTGAAGATGACCAGTGACGGAGCCCAAGATACCACAGACTGGCTGGAGCGTTTTCAAACTGCTTGACACGAGATACGGACAGCCTGACCCTTCCTCTATCTCCCCCTTCAGGCGAGTTTCCCCGACTTATTATTTCTGCTCGGACCAACTGATAAAATTTGAAGCTCTCTGTAGCAGAATGACCTCCTTATCCCCACCCATTGCTGAGGGGAGAGTTGGAATGAAGATGTAGGGGAAGGGGGGTCTGGTGTGTGTGACCTCAGGGTCAGTTGCTGCAAACTGTGTGTGATCCAGGCTGTGTCTATCGGTACCGACTGCAGTGTAACATATTCTTTTAGTGTTGTGGCTATCTATGTGCTATCTATCTGATAAACATGCCTAAACTGGTAAGAAGAGAAACATATGTGTTTGTGAATCGATTTCACTTCTTCGTCAGTATTTCTTTCAACATATTGTTCTGATGAGACAGACAAATTTCTGAAGTATTTCGGGGTGTATGTTTGAAAAATGGCTCTATACATGTAACCTTTTAAAGTGTACATGCGACTAGCTTTTAACCACTTTAACGTTTAATAACTGCTTTCATACATGGAAAATGTCCTTGTCCGTACTGGGGGTTCAGTTGTATATCAGACTCAGACCCCAGCTCCAGAATCAAGGCTCCGGACAATAAGTTCAGACTCAGGCCTCACCTCGAATCTCTGAATTCAGGGCTCCAAGCTCCCAGTTCCGGACAATAGCTATAAACTCCAGGCTCTAGGCTACAGGCTCCAGACCTCGGAAACTAAGTTCAGACACAAACCTTAGATCCAAACTCTTAGCTCAAGGCCCTACGCATAACGTGAATATTCGTATATCTGCGTGTTAAACCTTGCTACCTATGAGCCCCGGGTTATGAACGAGTGATCACTCTCCCTCTGACACAAGAGCTTTCTTTTTTTCTGTATTTCAACAATTTAAAGATAAAGTTCATAGTACAGACTTTCGTGTTTGTATTGGAAGTGTAAGTCATAGATCATATCCATCCATGCAGATGCCGAGGCTAATATTCTTCGGACCTTCCTACATGCTTTTTTGTTGAGTATGCGCACAATATGCAATGTACATATGCAATGTACATGTAAGTCTACAGTAGGAAAACGGTAGCTTATATTATATATGTTAGCTGCGTCAAGGTATTACGCATCAGTGTTCTTTCGTGTCCTTCAAGGCGGCTCTTGAACCTACATCAGACAGTACTGCATCAAACAGAAGACCGAAGGTATCTACATCAGACAGTACTGCATCAATCAGAAGACCGAAGGTACCTGGGGGCGGTGGGGGTAGCCTAGTAGTTAAAGTGTTGGCTCGTCACGCGGGTTCGATTCCCCACATGGGTACAATGTGTGAAGCCCATTTCTGGTGTCCCCGCCGTGATATTGCTGGAATATTGCTAAAAGCGGTTTAAAAGCAAGCTCACACTCGCCGAAGATACCTACATCAGACATTACTGCGTCAACCAGAAGACCGAAGGTCCCTTCATCAGACAGCACTGCAGCAACCAGAAGACCGAAGGTACCTACATCTGACAGCACTGCGTCAACCAGAAAACCGAAGGTACCTACATCAGACAGCACTGCATCAACCAGAAGACCGAAGGTACCTACATCAGACAGTACTGCAGCAACCAGAAGACCGAAGGTACCTACATCTGACATTACTGCGTCAACCAGAAGACCGAAGGTACCTACATCTGACAGCACTGTATCAACCAGAATACCGAAGGTACCTACATCTGACAGCACTGCATCAACCAGAAGACCGAAGGTACCTACATCAGACAGTACTGCATCAACCAGAAGAAGAAAATAGGCGTACGACGTCTCGACGACCTTAGAGAATAAATACAACAATAAGTCCAACTAAAGTCCAGAATGATTGGGTAAGCCTGGATTACCTCAGCTCTATGAATATAAGAATTGCTCTGGGGCCTTAATGGATTTTACTTATTTTGCAAATATATATATATATATAAGATAAATTTATTTCTTGAACTAAAATCAGTCTAGACGGCCAGGTCGGGATTCGGCGCTGCTGAAATTGAGAAGGTTCAGGTATGATCT